GACATAATAAGGTAATGTAATAGCATAATAAATGAAAAATAATACTGTACCATGGATCGATTTATACTTTATTAATGTCTGTCATCTACTTTTACAACTTAGAGATCTATTTTCAGGAATATTCTGGGTAATGTACAGTACATTGTACAGTACCATGATATGAATATTAATGCAAATTATATCAATTTTACAGTTTCGACACTCACAAAGTTTTGAATAATCGAGTTATTTACAACTTATTCTTCAATGAACTAATTCTAATTGGACTTGTTCAAGTTTCATAAACAATCTCGAGAATGAACCAGTAACTTAATAATTATTAATTAAATTGAACTATTAAAATATCTTAAAATTACCAGCATAAGCTGTTATAGTTGAGCTTTAAATATAATTCATGAAACTATAATAAATTAATTTATATCTATTTTTATATTTATATTTCTCGAAGTTATACGGTATTTAATATTTTCAACATATCATTTAAAGTTTCAATTTTAAACAAACTCTAATAGAATAAAGTTATAAAGTCATAATATACTTTACATATTTGACAATAATTAGAGTGGAATTACCTTAACTATAAAATTGTTTTATTCTTACCTTACTTATTTATTACATTGGCATACAATTAGAGCAATAAAATATGCAATTATATCAAAAATACCTAACAAAAAGTAATTAACGCCAAATTGTTGCTAATAGTTTTGTTGAGATGAATGTATGGTTTGAATGAATCAATATTTTGTGGGAAAACTGCAGCAAACATCACATATTGTATTTGTATTGAAAGACCATCTCAAATGAGTGATTGCCTCACACTTTGATCCTAAAGTATTTAGTGGACCAGTATTTAGTGGACCATAGCGTAGAAATAATGATGCTATTAATAATTAATCCAGTTTGTATTCCAAACAAATAGCAAGTACCTATATTGAATTGCATATAGCTTAACAAAACATCAATTAAGTACTTTGTAGTTTCGTTTACTTATCAAATATCGATCAATAATTTATCTTACAAAAGTTAAATCTTTTTTCTAAATAACAAACTATAATATATACCTTATTATTATTAGTTAATCAATATCAGGATAGTTTAGTCAAATTTATCTTTATTTAAATAACTTACGTTTGTAATTATGAATTGACTTTTACTAAATAAAATTGATTTATGTTTCGGTAATTCCAGTGCTTTCAGAAATCCTTAATCCATAATCGCGTTTGACTTATAGTCGCAAACGTTGGCACCAAAACAACCACAAAAACCACAACAACATTACATACTGTTTATAAAATGCGCCCGAATTGAGGCCTTTTAAGGGTTTAATGAGTGGTAAATACGATGAGATAATAAACTTCGTTATAAATCACATAAAAAAGAATATATAATTGAAATATCATTCAATTATTGGTGACATTTCACTGAATTTGTTTAGAAATGAGCAGAACTTCAATTTAACACAATTCCTGATCGAAGAGTTATTCATTACAAAACTATTTGTGGAAAAAAGGATTAACTGTTGGGTTATTAGTCTACAGAATAAGACACGTCTTCTTCCTCTTAGGTTCGGGCGGTTCGAGTGCCGCCAGAATCGCCTCATCGAACACATTCTTGAGCCCTCTCTGAGTGGACAGACATTGCAATCAATGAGTCAGTCGTAGGAATGGCAGCAAATGGCATTAGCATACCTGTGTCAGTGCCGAACACTCCACATATTTAACGGCTTTTAACTCTTTGGCCAACTTTTCGCCCGCTTCTGAAGTGATGGGCTTTTGTTTGTTTTTCGATAACTTCTCGACAGTCGCCGCGTCGTCGCGAAGATCTATTTGAGTGCCCACTAAGAGGAATGGCGTCTTCTGACAGTGATGTGTAATCTCTGGGACCCACTATAGCGCCGGTAGTCAACACACACACAGACACACAATTAGTCGAGTCTATAGAGTATGTGATACTCGAGGAATACCTTTTCCTTGACGTTCTCGAAACTGGAGGGCGAGACCACCGAAAAGCACACCAAAAAGACATCGGTTTGCGGGTAACTCAGTGGTCGGAGTCGGTCGTAGTCCTCCTGACCGGCCGTATCGAACAGCCCTAACGTGTAGGGCTCGCCTCCGATCATTACAGTGACCGCATAGTTGTCGAAAACCTGTACAACATATGAGGGCATCCATGAGATCACCGATCAATTGGTCATGAAATGCGTGATACAGACTGTGGGCACGTATTCAGAGGGAAACTTGTTTGTTGTGTACGATATGAGTAGACATGTCTTTCCGACGGCACCGTCACCGACGACAACGCATTTGATTGTCTGCATCTTACCAGCGATTACTACCAATCAATCACTGATAAGCCGATCAATTCAACGATTGGATCAGTTGTCGCCAGAAGTAAAATCACACAAACGGCTGTCAACTGAACACCAAATAAAGACAAACAATTAGTTTTAATTCAATTCAAACCTCAATTTAATGGTCATTTTGGCTCATAATTGTAATCAACAATTAGACAATCAATTGATTGGTCTTATGAGCAAAATATGTGTCTTTCGTACGAAACCATTGTTTCACTAAACCATACATTCGTGTCATCATTATCTGCACGCATCTAATGATTGGTCACTGAAGTGATAATCACCTGTAATTGAGTGGAGATGTGGTCAAGCGATGACACAATTGACAACAATATAGTGATTGCGAACAATTACACGAAAAGTGTCTGAATATGTGATAACAAGTGTATGAATAGGGCGTCGACTATAGCGTACAGTAGAGTCCATACGACGGCATCACTCATGCAGTCAAACCTCTACTCAAGGAAGTCATGCATTCATTCAATTCACTGTCAATATCACCAATAATTACGTCCATTCTCACCACTAATTCAATACAATTTATTCATACAGTATTCGCATTCAATTCAAAATACATTACTAAAAACATCTCATTTAGTGATCATTAGTCGCATTCATCCGAAGATATGTCCAGAGTTTGGTTCAAATCAAACGATACATTAGTCTTACGGTTGTTATTATGAACCGATTTCTTCCTATTTCGAGACTTTTTCACTTTTTTCGACTTATTTTCTGTTCCTTTACTTTGACTTTCATTTAACTTTCGTTTCTTAGAATTTGATTGATTATGAAGTTTGTGAGCACTGGTAGGTTTGGCCGCTTCCGTGGTTCCACTGCTTGTGCCTACTTTTGGCTCCACATTCACATTGATGTCCGAAATATCTTTATTTGACTTAATTTTCTTTCGTTGATTATAGAAGTGGTTGAGAGGAGTTCCGTCGCATTTCATCTGACTTTCCCATGAGTTCTGTTGAGATTAACAATCAATTAACGAAAACTTCATTAAAAACTCAATTAAATGCCATACAATGGAAAGGGAGTCACTTATGGAGAACTCAACGTTCTTTCGCTTTTCGCAAATCAGTTTCGAGTTGTCTTCGATTTTATCCAATAATTGTTTTAAGAGTTGATTGTGTTGTACAACATGTGAACGCTTTATGAATTTGCGGATCTATAACATTATACCCGTTTATAATTATTAATACCATAAACATACAGTACCGTAACAATTTGAAAATGATAAAAACAAACCTTAATTACAGAGATGTGAACCAATTCTGGGAAAGCTATTCGATGCGATTGTGTAGATAAGTAATACAAAATCAAATCATAAACCTTATTAATCGTTGAATCTCTAAATTGAAAGTCATTTGCGCTGATATTCGACACTTTAATCAAAAGATCGAAATTAAGCTCTTTTTCGTCATTGGATTTGTTTTTCTTGAGTTGTTTATCGAAATTGTCGAAAACTTGTGTAACAAACGGCAGAATAGGAATGAATGCATTCGTCTCATCCGAGAGTTTGATCAGCGCTTTAATCAAATGAAATCTCATCGGAAAATACTTAGCCGAAGGAATCAATCTATAGACCAAACAATCAGTTAATCATAAGATAATAAAAATATATTATATTGTAATCATAACCCACCGAATGGTTCCAATGATCACATTAACCAATGGAGAAATAAGTGGTTTGAGTTCATCGACGGTGTTATGAGAACACAAGAGTTGAGTCCATAATAGGATAGAATTCAAGAACTGCCAGTTGTAGACAGTCTTATATGATTCCTAAACACATTCACACTTTCATTATCTTATTCTCGAGATAAAGAGTTAATTGTCACTCACTTTCTTCTTGATAGTCATTGCAGTCCTTAAATTGATAGCCAGTTGTCTGACAAAGATAAACGAGTGCTGGTATGCGACCATTTGGTCCAATGAATACAATTCAACCAACGATTGTCTCATGAAATTAATGACACTTTGATTGGAAACTGTCATGAATTTAGAGTTCTTTACGTAAGAGATGTAGAGTTTCTGTCAAATAAAGTATAAATTATTTTAGTCTTAATTCTTCAATAAAAAGCTCTCTCTCTCTCCCTCTCTCTCTTTCTCCCTCTCTCTCTCTTCCTCTCTCTCTCTCTCTCTCTCTACCTTTAAGATGAAGCTAATCATAGGCTGTTCCTGAGTACGAATTAATCGTATGATACAAATGAAGGAAAGAATGCGATTCTTCTCATCACTTTCAGACCACAAGACAAGTGTCTGTTTGAGGACTCGTTTGATTAGATGTGGAAAAGTAATGAGGAATGGAATCAAATGAAGAATATGTCGCAGAAGTGTTGTCTTCAGGGACTGTTCAGAGACACTGCCAACCATTTTGATGACATCCGTTAAATAGCATTTCATAACTGCCATCACTTTCTTCCAATTCCTCGACTTCGTCGGATCCATTACTTTCACATCACTCGACCACTCATTTGATCCAATTTGTGGTAATTTCAAAATTTTGTGAACCGCTGGCAACAGGTCTATCAGACATACATTTGTGATGGCATTGAAGACCTCGGCGTTCATTATCTGTCCATCACTTTCACCACTCGTCTGATTGACGGCTCTTCGAAACCATTTGACAACTGATTTGATTGTCTCGATGTCTGCCTTGTCTTCCAACCGATGGCTCCAATCATTCACTTGTTTCACCGATAACTTACTAATTCCTTCCGATTGGTCCCCTTCGGTGTCCAATTCATTATCTTCTTCCGAGTCCTCATCCACGTCTTCGTCGTTGATATCGAAATCAAGTAATTGTTTGTCGTTTTGTTGCAAAAACTCATAAAACTCTTTATCGGTTTCCTTTAGACTCTGCAAAGACTTCTTGTGGTCGACAATAGACGTCAAGTCATCATCGCTTTCATCACCAATTTGTTTGGCATTTAATTCATCCGATTCTTCGCCATCTGATCCACTCATCCATTCCTCGGCTTCTTTGCTCTTCTTTGGCTTTGGATTCACTTTCCTTTTATTCACTTTTACTTTATTTTTATTCATTTTGCTTTTACTTTTGGTCTTCATTTTGGACATCATTTCAAACAATCAGTAAATTCACTGCAAATGTGAATACAAATTGTGTTTTCAATCAACACGTGCTTTGCTTTCAAACATATGTATTAAACACATAAATTATGTACACTTTTTAAACTTTGTAATTTAATTTAATTTAATTTAATTGTTGATATTATACAAATGTGGTCCCCTTCGGTGTCCAATTCATTATCTTCTTCCGAGTCCTCATCCACGTCTTCGTCGTTGATATCGAAATCAAGTAATTGTTTGTCGTTTTGTTGCAAAAACTCATAAAACTCTTTATCGGTTTCTTTTAGACTCTGTAAAGACTTCTTGTGGTCCACAATAGACGTCAAGTCATCATCGCTTTCATCACCAATTTGTTTGGCGTTTAATTCATCCGATTCTTCGCCATCTGATCCACTCATCCATTCCTCCGCTTCTTTGCTCTTCTTTGGCTTTGGCTTTGGATTCACTTTCCTTTTATTGACTTTTACTTTATTTGTATTCATTTTGTTTTTACTTTTGGTCTTCATTTTGGACATCATTTCAAACAATCAGTAAATTCACTGCAAATGTGAACACAAATTGTGTTTTCAATCAACACGTGCTTTGCTTTCAAACATATGTATTAAACACATAAATTATGTACACTTTTTAAACTTTGTAATTTAATTTAATTTAATTTAATTGTTGATATTATACAAATGAACAAGCTACTGTATTAAATATTGAATAAATGAACAGCAAAACTACGAAATAATTACTTTTATAATGAAATTAAATGAGAAATGTGTGTAAACGTGATACAAATAAAGCCATGAATTGACGTACTTTTGAGTGTTTATCAAAACAGTGACACATTGTTTGGTTTCATTCATAACTGGATGACCATTGAGTCCATTGACTGACTGAGTGATAGTCTTAGAGTTGGTGTGGAGTGTGGATCAGATAAGATGGTGAATCTGACACAAATATGTCTCAAATATATGCCGCATTGGATGAAGAGACCGGAGAACAGATCCGTTTACTTCAAAAGAGTGGCTCTTCTTCGGCTGACGGGAGTATGTGTTGAGATGTTGTCATAATTTGTTGCCATTTAGTGATACATTGATGTCTCGATCGGTAGACATTTGGTGGTCTGAGTCGGAACTCTTTCAAAGTAGCCGTCAAGAAGTGGACCAAAACCATGCAATATAAGCCTAAATACCGGCGACTGAGGTCTCAAATGATTCAAGACTTGTATTCGCAGCGAATCTTAGGCGCCGTCGAAGAACACGGATTCAAATACGAGCTCTTCATGTCTTGTTTAACCAAAGTATGTATTCATTGATACACTTACGAGATGTCATATGTAATGAAGTACTGAATGTCTGAATGTGTGATACAGTGTGGGGTCGAACTGAACCGCAAATCGTTGTCTACTTTAGCCGTTTATGAACCGAAGACTTTTGAGGTATTCTTACAACCATTTCATGACTATCTTTGAATCAATGAATCAATGAATGGTTCAATTGATATGATTTCAGAGTTTAGTAGATTTGGCCAAAACTAAGCTCAGAGAAGAAGCAGATTCTGAGATCGCAATCAATACTAAACCTGTCGATGGAGTGATCACTCGAGGAATGCTGTGAGTTGTCCCACAGTTTTCATAAGAAATCAGATTATATTTGGTATAAAATGTTTTTTATTAAGTCATGAAATGATGGAAAATTACATAATATTTATATACTGTATAATCGATGAAATTAATTTGATTTAGTGTTAAGTAAGCCATTAGTCTCTTAATGGGAATTACATTAAAGTTTAGCTGATTTTGAGACTAAATTAGAGCACAAAACGGTTGTGCTTTTAGTACTTCTAATGATATATAAAAATAGTTGATTTGTAAATACTTTCTCAATAAAAATAAATTATATTCATTAATAACTATATTTTATAAGAATAAGTGGTTTTCAGATATGATTATAACATAATGTGAAAAGAAGTCGTTTTGAGTTCTGCTATTGAGTCGACTTTTGAAAAGTTTGTCCCAAATGTCAAAAATCACAGTTTTTTAATCATAATTATTTACAAATGATTAATTCGAGTGCAAACCAATCAGACGCCAATCTGACCATTAAGTGACACTTAAGATAAGATGCCATTTGTTTGAACCGCAAAGTATACAAACTTTGTAGGCTTATCCCCACAAATGACAGGTCTGTTCGGCTCTCATAGATGAGGAGTCTTTACACCTGAATAGCTGTGCAAATCTGGACGAGTGCCGCAAAACTGTCATAACTCGCAGTTCATTCGGAAGTGTTGTTTGGATTTCAGATTTAATGAGTGCTCTCTCGGGTCGAACCGATTCACACATTGACTGCAATTAATGAATAAATTAATATAATTATTAAATACTGTATAGAACTAGAAAACTGAAAGTTATAAGCACTGCATACCTGTGCAAATGACGTGTAGAACAGTTGTTCGCTATTTAAGTAAACACCGGAGAGGTGTCCCTCTTCGCCCTTTTCGGACACATAATTTTTATAGGCGGCGAACGCCAACTCCAAAGCCCCCACATCTATGTATGTCTGCGATAACGTCAGATTGGGGTACATCTGAAATGAATGCAAATAACTGTATAGCAAATGGTAATCAATTATTTGGCAAACTATATACCAATTGAGTCTTTTCTGACAAATATTGTAAATCTTTGGACAAACACTCGAGACTGTTATCAAAGTCCTGTTGACCATCAGGTGATCGCCATTTCTGTTCACTGGAGAGCCGGAAGTCCGGCATTCCGTACTGCAAACCCGTTAAATCAAAGGCACGTAACAGATGTGCGGCCACATGGAAGCCCAGTGAACCGAATTGCATTGGGACGGGTAGGTTTGTGTCATATAATGGGAACTGTAGAAAACCGGCCGGAATTGTCAACTTATTGCCCGCGTATTCATAAGCGATATCAACGTCTTGAGGCAATAACTTCCAGCTATAATCCGAAACTGAATTGCGAGACTTGAGTAGTATATCATTCTTACGGTTATTGAAATGAATGCCATTCAGAATATTTTGGTAAAAACTGTTCTGAACTATGAATTCGTTGTAATACTTCTCGATGTCATTCTTGAGGACGAAATTTGGTTGACTTATAAGTAACTCCAACTGACGGACTTTCCTATTGATCAGATCCCGGGCCTCATCACTGCGCGCCCACACAAATGAGTTGATATTTTCTAAGACTGAACTCTTAATGTAATTAATGACATGACTTCGGGCACCATTTGACTGATCCAATCTTGTGGGCAACTTATTCTTGATGAACATCGAGCCCAACGCCTGTCCCAAGAATTTCGATGTAATCCTTAGGCAGAACTCCCAGCGCTCTTCAGCCAAACGAAGTTTATTAGACTCGAGACCATTCATAGACTGTTGGAATTCATTGTGAATGAGTCGGAATGCTTTGGACAGGTAGGGCGCGTATGTGGACGTGAACCGCCACATCAAATAGTCATTGACAGCACCGTTATCTGTAGTGGAGATGATGTTTGAAATGTTTCGCAAATAGGGCTCAAATGCCACCAAAACTCTGGTGCCTTCGTTTAGCTGTGAATTTGGGAAATAGTTTTGCAGTAAATTAAGCCATTTTATTGACGGTGCGATTGACATCAACTCCCGAATGGAATAGCGTTTCTTCAGGTAATTGTTTGGCTCTTCGTATTCTTCGAGATCTGGAGTCACTTCAGCGATACGTTTCTCATAATTAAACATATTTTCTGCGAATTGATTCGCTTGAATGGACTGAGCGTTGAATAGTTTAGCCAATTCTCTCATAAAGTTTTTATATGACTCCGTTTGCTATCAATTAATTCAAATAATTAGTTTGCATTTAAAAATACATTCAATTCTAGTAATCAATACCTTTTCATATTTGGAGTCATAGTAGTAGTTCTTTGATGGCAGACCTAATCCGGACGGCTCTATCTGTAATGCAGTTATAAAAATGAAAATCATTGAAATAACAAATTATAAATTATAATTCATGAAACGTGTCATGAATTGGCTTTCAAAGCATGAAATTCATATTATTTCAAATAAATAATCAATTCGTTATACTCTACTAACAAATAGTTAATTAAAATGTAATAATTATAATATTTTTATTGTTTAAAAGTAATGTCTGCACACAAGCTCTGAATGAATACCTTAATAATAAAGGGTTGGTTGGGGTCGAGATCGTCGGGTCCGACCGACACTTTAAAGTAAGGGTTGACACCATATTTGGTATGAAGTCTTTCTATGACTTTAGTCCTGTCCCAACTCTGGTAGGACCAGGAGCTTAACAAACTCCAGCCACCAATCTCTTGGATTTCATATTTAATGGTCGAAATAGAGTTGTATTCAATGTCTTCCACATTAAGACACGAGGAATAGAAGCGTTTGACTTTGAATTGAGGATCAGCCTCATCGACACCCTGACCGATGAGGTCGATGTAGTGTCTGAGTTCGTGTTGGATGCGATCCCTGATCTGGTCAGTGACGGCCCAACTGCCCCTATTGTCTGGAATGGCATTCTTGTTGGTCCACCCATTGCAGGAGAACTGCCAGAAGTTATGGCACGGATCATAAGTGGTGTTGAGGGCACTGACAACACTTGTGGCCGCTTTCAGACAATCACTTGTTTCACATTTAGGATTAGAAATGAGTTGTGGTCTGAGACTTAATTTGATGGACAATATAATGGTAGTGACGAGCAATACGAATATAAGTATAGCAAGAATTAGGATAATCCTATGGTTTCTGTTGGACTCCAACTGACTCCTGGCTCGTCTGAATCGGTTCTCCAAGATCTCAAACCTCGACTTCTTATTGTCGGTATTAGAGTTGGAATTGTTTTTATCCATTATTTTGACATCACTTGTATTGAGAGCACTGTCTTCAGGACTCAATCTGTCGTTTTCTTTGGGTTCGCTCTCCTCTCCATTCATATCACTATTGTATTGGTTTCCAGTCATTTCAGGCATATCCAGGACCTGTAGTTCCAGTGGTGTCACTGGTGTCGTTCCCTTCAGATAATTGATGCTTTAGGCTGTCTTTAGCCACGTCTCCAACCACCCCAATAGCGCTTCCACTTCTCCTCACTTCTCAAAACTTTTTCTTTTCACTCTATGCTACCAATGAATACAACCTTACGTTAGGTCTCAACAACTTGTTGTTCACTATATAGGAGTCGGTTTAGCCCTACTTTAAATCTATTCTACATAATAGATATATTGTATATATAACTAATTATCACTAAACTTGCTTTAGTTTTATTAATATTTAAAGCTTTTGGTATTTAAATAAACAATTCTTACATAAACTTAAACTAATTCTAACAAAACTCAACTGTTTTCTCAGTTAAAACAATAAATAAACTCTTAGAACATAACTTATAAAACAAACAAGAATTATAATATATTCTTGAAATCAATTTAATATCAAATGAATTAATGGTAATTATCACTCATTTATATTAATATTTGCAAAAATCTATTTCCAAGCAAAGAAAAATTTTAAAAAAAGTTAAAAAGTTTTGTTGTTAAATGTTTGGGAAACTCTTTGCAAGTAAAGGTGCGGCACAAGTATGTAATGCAGATTGTATGGCATCACTACATACCGTATCAGTTTCTCTTACCTCTCATTCCCATCGAAATATAAAATAGTGTTTTAATATACCGTTCAACAAATGAAGCCAATTGTTTTGTCAGATTTGTGTCTGAATTAATTATTGTAATTATAATTGCATGAAATACACCTGCAATACAATGAATAAGAATTATTAGTCCGACAGCTTTTGCCATTCAATACAAAACATGTTGTGAAATACACTTTAATGGAAAACATATGTCTTATCAAGAGTTTGTTAACAATACCTCTAATAATAAATTTTATACCATTTGCGGAAACAATACTTTTATACAATCATTACATACAAAATATTTCACGTCTAGTTTTTTTACGTTAATTTCGTGTATTTTAATATCAGATTCGTTTCCCTTAATTAGTTTATTTTATTTAACAAAAACATTATTTTTAAATCAAACAAATTATTACTAGACTTGTGTATTGAAATATAGACCATTGAAAAGATAAGTCTACTGAAGATATCCATTCAATGGTAACGTATGATCTATTGAAAACCATTGAAACCATTGAAACCATTGGACACAATCAATGCTCTCAATAAAAATTATTATAGAATTTAATGACTTATCTGTTTTCGAGTGTATTTTTGATTAGATAATCACTATTTAAAGTTAATACCATACTTTCATTGCAATAGAATACCAAAACAAGTATAGAATATTATGTACTGTACATTGTACATGGAGTTAT